GCAAGAACAGCTCAAATAAGCAAAGAGAAATGACATTCCATCATTACTTTAAGACATGAAGTCAATACGGAAAATGTCAAGAACTTTGAAAGTTTCTTCAAGTGCAGTTGCAAAAACCATCAATCGCTATGATGAAACTGGCTCTCATGAGGACCACCACAGGAATGGAATACCCAGTTACCTCTGCTGCAGAGGATAAGTTCATTAGAGGTACCAGCCTCAGAAATTGCAGCCCAAATAAATGCTTCACAGAGTTCAAGTCACAACTGTTCAGAGAAGACTGTGTGAATCAGGCCTTCATGGTCGAATTGCTGCAAAGAAACCACTACTAAAGGACACCAATAAGAAGAAGAGACCTGCTTGAGCCAAGAAACATGAGCAATCCACTACTAAAGGACACCAATAAGAAGAAGAGACCTGCTTGAGCCAAGAAACATGAGCAATGGACATTAGACGGGTGGAAATTTGTCCTTTGGTCTGGAGTCCAAATTGGAGATGTTTGGTTCCAACCGCCATGATGGTTTGGGATGAGTCGGACAGCAGAGTGAAGGAAAAGCAGCCAACAAGTGCTAAGCATGTGGGAACTCCTTCAAGACTGTTGGAAAAGCATTCCAGGTGAAGCTGGTTGAGAGACACTAAGAGAGTGCAAAGTTGTCATCAAGGCAAAGGGTGGCTATTTGAAGAAGAATTTCAAATATAAAATATATTTTGATTTGTTTAACACTTTTTTGGTTACTACATGATTCCATTTGTTATTTCATAGTTTTGATGTCTTCACTATTATTCTACGATGTAGAAAATAGTAAAAATTAAGAAAACCCCCTGGAGTACGTGTGTCCAAACTTTTGACTGGTAGTATTTGATACACTGCCGATTTTGCAGGTTTTCCTACTTACAAAGCATGTAGAGGTCTGTAATTTTTATCATAGGTACACTTCAACTGTGAGAGACGGAATCTAAAACAAAAATCCAGAAAATCACATTGTATGATTTTTAAGTAATTAATTTGCATTTTATTGCATGACATAAGTATTTGATACATCAGAAAAGCAGAACTTAATATTTGGTACAGAAACCTTTGTTTGCAATTACAGAGATCATAAGTTTCCTGTAAGTATTGACCAGGTATGCACACACTGCAGCAGGGATTTTGGCCCACTGCTCCATACAGACCTTCTCCAGATCCTTCAGGTTTCGGGGCTGTCGCTGGGCAATACGGACTTTCAGCTCCCTCCAAAGATTTTCTATTGGGTTCAGGTCTGGAGACTGGCTAGGCCACTCCAGGACCCTGAGATGCTTCTTACAGAGCCACTCCTTAGTTGCCCTGGCTGTGTGTTTCAGGTCGTTGTCATGCTGGAAGACCCAGCCACGACCCATCTTCAATGCTCTTACTGAAGGAAGGAGGTTGTTGGCCAAGATCTCGCGATACATGGCCCCACCCATCCTCCCCTCAATACGGTGCAGTCGTCCTGTCCCCTTTGCAGAAAATCATCCCCAAAGATTCCACCTCCATGCTTCACGGTTGGGATGGTGTTCTTGGGGTTGTACTCATCCTTCTTCTTCCTCCAAACACGGTGAGTGGAGTTTAGACCAAAAAGCTCTATTTTTGTCTCATCAGACCACATGACCTTCTCCCATTCTTCCTCTGGATCATCCAGATGGTCATTGGCAAACTTCAGACGGGCCTGGACATGCGCTGGCTTGAGCAGGGGGACCTTGCGTGCGCTGCAGGATTTTAATCCATGACGGCGTAGTGTGTTACTAATGGTTTTCTTTGAGACTGTGGTCCCAGCTCTCTTCAGGTCATTGACCAGGTCCTGCCGTGTAGTTCTAGGCTGATCCCTCACCTTCCTCATGATCATTGATGCCCCACGAGGTGAGATCTTGCATGGAGCCCCAGACCGTGGGTGATTGACCGTCATCTTGAACTTCTTCCATTTTCTAATAATTGCACCAACAGTTGTTGCCTTCTCACCAAGCTGCTTGCCTATTGTCCTGTAGCCCATCCCAGCCTTGTGCAGGTCTACAATTTTATCCCTGATGTCCTTACACAACCCTCTGGTCTTGGCCATTGTGGAGAGGTTGGAGTCTGTTTGATTGAGTGTGTGGACAGGTGTCTTTTATACAGGTAACGAGTTCAAACAGGTGCAGTTAATACAGGTAATGAGTGGAGAACAGGAGGGCTTCTTAAAGAAAAACTAACAGGTCTGTGAGAGCCGGAATTCTTACTGGTTGTTAGGTGATCAAATACTTATGTCATGCAATAAAATGCAAATTAATTACTTAAAAATCATACAATGTGATTTTCTGAATTTTTGTTTTAGATTCCGTCTCTCACAGTTGAAGTGTACCTATGATCAAAATTACAGACCTCTACATGCTTTGTAAGTAGGAAAACCTGCAAAATCGGCAGTGTATCAAATACTACCATTTTATAAATGGTATAATTGCGTGATATGATAGCATCTTGCAAACCCGCTCCCCCCGTCGCCCCAAGATTATGAATGCTTTTGACAGTGAAGTAAAAATACTTTAAAGTACTACTTAAGTTGTTTTGTTGGGGTATCTGCACTTTACTATTTATATTTTTGACAACTTTTACCTCACTACATTCTTAAAGAAAAAAAATGTACTTTTATTCCATACATTTTCCTGACACCCAAAAGTACTCGTTACCTACAAGTGTGATCGGGGGATTTCTATTGGAGAAAGCAGTTTCTGCCTGTCTTCATACTGTACCAAAGATTTTTCACAACTAAACCTCATTGTTCTGTGACTATACTGGGTAATGTTTTCATCCCTGTCTGTGTGGCAACAACAGTATCCGGTGTGTCGTGTAATTAGAATAGTCCACCTGCTGGACTGCAGTGCAACATGGCCAATTCGGCTAGTGTACTGAATGACAGTAAATATACGGCTTTATGATAAGAGTGGGAGACTGTTGAAAAAGCCTACAAACAAAGCGCATCCTCCTTCCTTGAGGTAATAACTGATGGGTATGTAATTCGATACGACAAAGGTTGTACTGCTATCGTTAGTTCAACCCTCTCAGAGCAGATGGGTTCAAGGAAGGGAGCTGCATTTCGAAAGAAACTTCAATGAAGTATGACACAGTACAATATTATGCAGTGCACATGAGAAGATTGAGAAAAAATGTAATGCTTCTTGATGGACCTTTAAAGTGCTTTAAAATGTATATCAATTGTATGGATTGCTGATTAGATTAGAAACATCTAAATAAATGTTTGATTTTATTATCTTTAAAAATTCACTTATCTCAAACGTTTTATTTAAAGGAGCTTTCTAGCAACACAAGATAGACTGATCATGGAACACTGTCAAAAGAGATGGAGAAGAGAGCAGGTAAAGACACCTTAATGAACAAGGTTATCAACATTTATTCTGTTGTGGGAAAAAAAAACATTCAATCTCTGGATGAAGAAAAACACATTTCACAAGGCTAATTTATATGAATGGGTCCACTTGAGCGTTTCACACCAATTGTCTTAATGCTTGTTAAAACATGGAAAACGAAATAAAAATGTATTTTCCCTCAAAGAGTGGATACTGGCATCAAACTCATAGGTAATAACACAAATGGTAGGAATCTTTCAGCTCTTGAGGACACTTGAGGAAACATAAGCACAAAGTAACTGATATTGGGAAAACTACTTTATCAAAACATACAGAGTATACCAAACATTAGGAACATCTTAATATTGAGTTGCAGCACCTCCCCTACACTGATTGAAATGGATTTAACAAGTGACATCAATAATGCATCATAGCTTTCACCTGGATTCACCTGGTCAGTCCGTGTCATTGAAAGAGTAGGTGTTCCCAATGTTTTGTACACTCAGTGTACATAATGTAGCAGACTAACATTTTAAACAAATGTTTACTCTAAAAAACAAAAATATGTTTTATGTACAAAGGGAAGACAGTTTCCCAAATGTCTGTTGTGTCATCCTATAATTAACAACTAGACTCCTGTTTCTCAGAAATCCACTAACTGCTCTGTTAGACAGTGATGGGGAGTTCTTACGTTCAAGCAGTAATTCAGTCATAACTTATTCACCCAAGAATAGTGTTCTGAGGGGCATCTCCTCTCACAGGTGGAAGTTACAATGTGACGCTCAATTTTCTGTCTTCAGACCTTTCCCCAAACAGCACACCGTTAAGTTCTTCCTCTAGTGACTATTCTATCATTTTGAAATGAAAGACAGTGTTTTCTCATTGTGGTCTGATTGTTATTTAATGTACCTGATTGGGAAAAGCATTTTCTAAATTGAGGATATCTATTCTCTCCCGAGTCCTTATGGTCATTTCAGATTGGTGCCAGCGCAGACTCCTTTACCACAGTCACTAATGATACCGTTTCTCTCCAGTATGAATCCTCATGTTGAATTTCAGAAGGCCACTAGTGCTGATAATCCTTTGCCACAAATGGCAATGATATTATTTCTTCCCTTTGTGGATCCTCATGTGTAATTTTACATTTCCACTCCGATTAAATGTCTTGCCACAATCAGGACAGCAAAAAGGCTTCTCCCCTGTGTGAATCATAATGTGTCTTTTCAGAGCGCTGCCAGTGCTGAATCCTTGGCCACAATCATGACAGTGATAAGGTTTCTCTCTTGTGTGGGTCCTCATGTGTGTTTTTAGATTTCCCTTCTGGTTGAATCCTTGGCCACAATGACAACAGCTATATGGTTTCTCCCCTGTGTGAATCCTCATGTGTATTTTTAGATCTCCATTCTGACTGAAACATGAACCACAAACAGGGCATGAAAAAGGTTTCTCCCCTGTGTGTATTCTCATGTGTATTTTTAGACTACCATTCTGTTTGAATCCTTTGCCACAATGACAACAACGATATGGACTCTCCCCTGTGTGAATCCTCATGTGCACTATCAGCTTACTGTTCTTGCTGAACCCTTTACTACAAACATCACAACAAAAACTAGCTGCAATGTGAGTTTGGAAGTGATCTTTCATACTTTCTGTGGACTGAAAGCATTTTCCACACACACCACAAATACCTTCATCTTTTTTATGAGTTTGCACGTGTTTAACTAATGAACCCATTTGAAGAAAAGACTTGCCACACACCTTACAACAGCAGCGAGTATAATTACTTCGACTGGGTGATTTCAGGAGGGACAACTGTGTAGATTCCCTACCCTTAGTATTGATATGGGACCTTTGTCCTTTTACCATCTTTGTTCTCTTTGATATGACTGGCTTAAAACCTGACTGAAGTCCTCCTGTCTCCATACCACTGACACGTTGACTGTTTTCACTCTGATCTGCAGAACAGTCTGGATGTACTGTACAGAAAGGCTGAGAGACACCGGTTGGTTCTGCTTCTACATAGATCTCTCCATCAGGTTCTGTTTTGATCTTTTCAGTTTTCGTATTGGGTAGAGTGTCTCTCTCTCCGTTTCCTTCCTTTGGGGCTTGATAGAGATGTGAGAGCTGAGTTGGGTCCTCATCACAGTCACTTTTCACACAGACAGGTTTGAATATGAACTCTATGGTATCTGCCTCAAGCCCTTGAATCTGCTCTTCCTCCTGACTGGTCCTGAGTTCCTCCTGTTCCTCTTTAATCTGTATGGGCTCTGGGTCCTCCTGCACCAGACTGGGGCTCCACTCCTGCTCACAGTGCTGCTGCTCAGGGGGAACCTCCTCTTCAGAGACAGCGAGAGTGAGCTGTTGGACGTCTGGAAGAAAGGATGAAATAGAAAATTCAATAACATTGTAGACCTACCTCCTGTCTGGTATGCCTGCAATAATTAACTTCTACTAGTCAAATATAAAAGTAATGGGTCTTTCTCAATTAATTCAATCACATTTTTGACTGCACCCCTTTTGATTTTAACAAAACATTCCATACGTTTGCCCATGGCAGAAATGGTCAGAAAATATATTTTTGGACCTGAACGCCAAAACAAAGTTGACCCATTTTGCAAAACCCCACCTTACCATGAGACAACCATATCTTTCTTAATCACTGAAAAAGATAACAGTTGCCAAACTATTTTTGAAATGTCTTTAAAAAAAATTTTCAATAACAGTTAGGTCATTTAACATCTATGATCTAAAAACGTGTGAGATTTTTCTTCATTTTCTCATATGTTGTAGCTTAGACCCAATTTTACATCTGAGGTACAGTGCATTCGGAAAGTATTTAGACCCCTTGACTTTTCTAAATGTTGTTACGTTACAGCTTTATTCTAAAATGGATTAAATCGTTTTTTTCCACTCATCAATCTACACACAATACCCCATAATGAAAATAAAACAGGTTTTTCGAAATTGTTGCACATTTATTAAATATAAAAAAACAGAAATATCACATTTACATTAGTATTCAGACTCTTTACTCAGTACTTTGTTGAAGCACCTTTGGCAGCGATTACAGCCTCAAGTCTTCTTGGGTATGACGCTACAAGCTTGGCACACCTGTATTTGGGGAGTTTCTCCAATTCTTCTCTGCAGATCCTCTCAAGCTCTGTCATGTTGGATGGGGAGCGTCGCTGCAAAGCTATTTTCAGGTCTCTCCAGAGATGTTCGATCGGGTTCAAGTCCGGGCTCTGGCTGGGCCACTCAAAGACATTCAGAGACTTGTCCCCAAGCCACTCCTGCGTTGTCTTGGCTGTGTGCTCAGGATTGTTGTCCTGTTGGAAGGTGAACCTTCGCCAAAGTCTGAGGTCCGGAGCGCTCTGGAGCAGGTTTTCATCAACGATTTCTCTGTACTTTGCTCCGTTCATCTTTCCCTCGATCCTGACTTGTCTCCCAGTCCCTGCCGCTGAAAACTATCCCCACAACATGATGCTGCCATCACCATGCTTCACCATAGGGATGGTGGCAGGTTTCCTCCAGACATGATGCGTGGCATTCAAGCCAAAGAGTTCAAACCTGGTTTCATCAGACCAGAGAATCTTGTTTCTCATGGTCAGAGTCCTTTAGCCAATTTTTGGCAAACTCCAAGCGGGCTGTCATGTGCCTTTTACTGAGGAGTGGCTTCCGTCTGGCCACTCTACCATAAAAACCTGATTGGTGGAGTGCTGCAGAGATGGTTGTCCTTCTGGAAGGTTCTCCCATCTCCACAGAGAAACTCTGGAGCTCTGTCAGAGTGACCGTAGGGTTTTTGGTCACCTCCCTGACCAAGGCACTTCTCCCCCGATTGCTCAGTTTGGCCAGGCGGCTAGCTCAAGGAAGAGTCTTGGTGGTTACAAACTTCTTCCATTTAAGAATGATGGAGGCCACTGTGTTCTTGGGGACCTTCAATGCTGCAGACATTGTTTGGTACCCTTCCCCAGATCTTTGCCTCGACACAATCCTGTCTCGAAGCTCTACAGACAATTCCTTCGATCTCATGGCTTGGTTTTTGCCCTGACATACACTTTCAACTGTGGGACCTTATATAGACAGGTATGTGCCTTTCCAAATCATGTCCAATCAATTGAATTTACTACAGGTGGACTCCAATCAAGTTGTAGAAACATCTCAAGGATGATCAATGGAAAGTCTCATAGCAAAGGTTCTCATAGCAAAGGTTCTGGATACTGTAAATAAGTTATTTGTTTTTCATTGAATACAATTATTATTATTTAATTTGCAAAAAATTGTAAAAACCTGTTTTCTATTTGTCCTTATAGGGTATTGTTTGTAGATTGATGAGAGAAATAGTTATTTAATACATTTTAGAATAAGGCTGTAACATAACAAAATGTGGAAAAAGTCAAGGTCTGAATATTTTCCGAATGCACTGTACATGCATGCATACACACACACAGTACCAGTCAAAAGTTTGGACACACCTACTCATTCAAGGGTTTCTTTATTTTTACTATTTTCTACATTGTAGAATAGTGCAGACATCAAAACTATGAAATAACACATATGGAATCATGTAGTAACCAAAACAAATGTTAAACAAATCAAAATATTTTATATTTGAGATTCTTCAAAGTAGCCACCCTTTGCCTTGATGACAGCTTTGCACACTCTTGGCATTCTCTCAACCAGCTTCATGAGGTAGTCACCTGGAATGCATTTCAATTAACAGGTGTGCCTTGTTAAAAGTTAATTTGTGGAATTTCTTTCCTTCTTAATGCGTTAACAAGCCAATCAGTTGTGTTGTGACAAGGAAGGGGTGGTATACAGAAGATAGCCCTATTTGGTAAAATTATTATTATTATGGCAAGAACAGCTCAAATAAGCAGAGAAACAACAGTCCATCATTACTTTAAGACATGAAGGTCAGTCAATACGGAAAATGTCAAGAACTTTTAAAGTTTCTTCAGGTGCAGTCGCAAAAACCATCAAGCGCTATGATGAAACTGGCTCTCATGAGGACCGCCACACGAAAGGAAGACCCAGAGTTACCTCTGCGGCAGAGGTTAAGTTCATTAGAGGTACCAGCCTCAGAAATTGCAGCCCAAATAAATGCTTCACAGAGTTCAAGTAACAGACACATCTCAACATCAACTGTTCAGAGGAGGCTACATGAATCAGGCATTCATGGTCAAATTGCTGCAAAGAAACCACTACTAAAGGACACCAATAATAAGAGGACACTTGCTTGGGCCAAGAAACACGAGCAATGGACATTAGACCGGTGGAAATCTGTCCTTTGGTCTAGAGTCCAAATTTGAGATTTTTGGTTCCAACCTCTGTGTCTTTGTGAGACGCAGAGCAGGTGAACGGATTATCTCTGCATGTGTGGTTCCCACTGTGAAGCATGGAGGAGGTGGTGTGATGGTGTTGGGGTGCTTTGCTGGTGACACTGTCTATGATTTATTTAGAATTCAAGGCACACTTAACCAGCATGGCAACCACAGCATTGTGCAGCGATACGCCATCCCATCTGGTTTGCGCTTAGTGGGACTATCATTCGTTTTTTTAACAGGACAATGACCCAAAACACACCTCCAGGCTGTGTAATGGCTATTTGACCAAGAAGGAGAGTGATGGAGTGCTGCATCAGATGACCTGGCCTCCACAGTCACCCGACCTCAACCCAATTGAGATGGTTTGGGATGAGTTGGACCGCAGAGTGAAGGAAAAGCAGCCAACAAGTGCTCAGCATATGTGGGAACTCCTTCAAGACGGTTGGAAAAGCATTCCAGGTGATTACCTCATGAAGCTGGTTGAGAGAATGTGCAAAGCTGTCATCAAGGCAAAGGGTGGCTACATTGAAGAATCTAAAACATATTGAACACTTTTTTGGTTACAACATTATTCCATGTGTTATTTCATACTTTTGATGTCTTCACTATTATTCTACAAATGTAGAAAATAGTAAAAATAAAGAAAAACCTTTGAATGGTACTATATTTTTTTGTTGTTGTTGTTGTTGTTACTGCTCGACAAAAAAAATCTGTCGACCAAAAGCCTAACGACCAAATAAATCGGCCAGTCGACTAATTGGGGTCAGTCCTACCGCACACCCACTCACATACAGTGCATTCGGAAAGTATTCAGACCCCTTGACTTTTTCCACATTTTGTTACGTTACAGCCTTATTCTAAAATGGATTTAACCATTTTCCTCACCAATCTACACACAATACCCCATAATGACAAAACAAAAACTGTTTTTTTAGAAATGTAAAAAAAATTATAACTGAAATATCACATTTACATAAGTATTCAGACTCTTTACTCAGTACTTTGTTGAAGCACCTTTGGCAGCGATTACAGCCTTGAGTCTTCTTGGGTATGACGCTACAAGCTTGGCACACCTGTATTTGGGGAGTTTCTCCCATTCTTCTCTGCAGATCCTCTCAAGATCTGTCCGGTTGGATGGGGAGCGTCGCTGCACAACTCTTTTCAGGTCTCTCCAGAGAGTTGGGCCACTCAAGGACATTCAGAGACTTGTCCCGAAGCCACTCCAGCGTTGCCTTGGCTGTGTGCTTAGTGTTGTCCTGTTGGAAGGAGAACCTTCGCCCCAGTCTGTGGTCCTGAGCGCTCTATAGCAGGTTTTTATCAAGGATCTCTCTGTACTTTGCTCAGTTAATCTTTCCCTCGATCCTGACTAGTCTCCCAGTCCCTGAAAAACATCCCCCCAGACGTGACGCTTGGCATTCAGGCCAAAGAGTTCAATCTTGGTTTCATCAGACCAGAGAATCTATTTCTCATGGTCTGGGAGTCCTTTAGGTGCCTGAGAGTCCTTTAGGTTCCTTTTGGCAAACTCCAAGTGGGCCGGCATGTGCCTTTTTACTGAGGAATGGCTTCCGTCTGGCCACTCTACCATAAAGGCCTGATTGGTGGAGTGCTGCAGAGATGGTTGTCCTTCTGGAAGGTTCTCCCCTCTCCACAGAGAAACTCTGGAGCTCTGTCAGAGTGACCATCGGGTTCTTGGTCACCTCCCTGGCCAAGGCTCTTCTCCCCCGATTGCTCAGTTTGGCCGGGCGGCCAGCTCTAGGAAAAGTCTTGGTGGTTCCAAACTTCATCCATTTAAGAATGATGGAGGCCACTGTGTTCTTGCGGACCTTCAATGCTGCAGAATTTGTTTGGTACCCTTCCCCAGATCTGTGCCTTGACACAATCCTGTCTCGGAGCTTATTTGTTAATGTCTTTAAACTAATGAGCTGTATGTGGGAGAGAGGATAAGGACATGCCATGTGTTATTTATGTCACTGGTGGGTGGCAGAAGGTCTGCGTGCCAAGATAGATTGGGGGCCACCTGCTAATCTTAGATGGAGTACGTGATGGAATAGCCTGTCTAGGGTGCCACACGATACCATGTAGGGGGATCCTATTGTAGGAGATGAGTGACACTCAATAATGGTTGGCAACTGTTGGATGGAAGTAGCTCGGAAAGCATTATATAAACAGAGGTTTTCTATGTAAGTGATTCGGATGACAATAGGCTACGCCCGTACCACTTGTCATGTGAATCCAGTACTGTAACTATTAAATAACTATGAATCAACTCTTCATCTAAGTGTTTAACTATTCTCTTACATCCTGAAGTACTAGATAACAGAGAAACTCGTCATAACAGAGCTCTACGAACAATTCCTTCGACCTCATGGCTTGGTTTTTGCTCTGACATGCACTGTCAACTGTGGGACCTTATATAGACAGGTGTGTGCCTTTCCAAATCATGTCCAATCAATTGAATTTACCACAGGTGGACTCCAATCAAGTTGTAGAAACATCAAGGATGATCAATGGAAACAGGATGCACCTGGCTCAATTTCGAGTCTCATAGCAAAGGGTCTGAATACTTATGTAAATAAGGAATGTCGTTTATTATTTTTAATACATTCGCAAAAAAATTTAAAAACCTGTTTTTTTCCTTTGTCATAATGGGGTATTGTGTGTAGATTGATGAGGAAAAACATGTATTTAATCAATTTTAGAATAATTCTGTAACGTAACAAAATGTGGAAAAAGGTTAGGTGTCTGAATACTTTCCGAATGCACTGTACAACCACAAAGAAGAAACCATATAAATGAATGCAAAAAACTGCATCTCCTCTTCTCCTGTGCGTTTGGTAGTGGTAATTGCGTTTGGTAGTGGTAATCGAGCGAGCATTGTAGTAGTTTTCCTTTGTTCGTAGCTAGTGCAGTAATACCCACAGTGCAGTAATACCCACAAGGATGGGGTTTTGACTCATTTGTGGCCCAAAAAGGAGAAGCTTTTTGTCCGGTTAAAGCGAGCAGAGTGGAGTATGGGAACCATGCGCACGTCTACTGTATGCGACGCTAATTTCACCCCGGAAGATTTCGATGGCTTAGTATAACAGGGGGAAGTCAGGATTCGGAATGAGACTGACTGAAACCAGGTGCTGTGCCGAGCGTGAATATACCTTTTGAATGGTTGATCATTCAAATCCAATATTCACATTCTGACAATTTTACCATGGACAAACATGTATGTAGCTACAGTTTCGTTCAAATAAAGAAAGGGTGCGGCCCAAATATTCCTCTTTTTTTATTGGTTTCATGTGGAACGACTAATCCTAAACTTCTTCTCAAAAATAACTACCTTTGCCATTGCTCCAATGTCCTATAAAATGAAGGTTGAGTTAGTTAGACAAACGTAATGAGTTAGCCTACCTGCTCTGTGTAGGTTTTTCTCAGGTTGAAGAACAATGTCAATGTCGAGCAGCCTCTGTAGACGGACAACTTCCTCCTGATACTCTGCTATCGTTTTTTCAACAACCCCGAATATCTCCTCAGCAGCAGCTGTTAATCTCTCGTTGAGGAAAACCCTCAACAACTGTATTTTAGACATTTGTAGAAAATGCAAGTTGAGTAGCTAGCTAGCCAGATAGATAGCGCGTTGTGTTGTTTTCATCACGTCCGGTATTAGCGACAAAAGCATCCGGTTGCAAAAATGCGTCACTCGTTACTACAGCCACAAAGTCATAATTATGGCTGAACCCCTCCTATTCCTTCTTCTTCTTCTTTTCTATTCTATTCAACTGGCTGTGTCCCACCCTTAATCTTGTAAAAATAGCCTCCTCTCTTCTGTCCCTTCCTGCTGTCCTCCCCTCCCCGACTTATAGATCAGTCTTTTTGCCTCTGCCTTGCTTGTTGAAACTTCAACATCAACACCCCCGACCTAATTTCCCTTCAAGAGACGAAATGTCTGCAGTACCAAATCTACTGTAATTAAAAATAAAAAATAAAAATGCACACGTAAATATATACATAAATAAATGGATGAATGTATGCACACAGAAATAGATAAATAATTATTTTAATAATGAATCCACTTTTTCATTTTATTCATTTATATTATTATTTATTCATTTATTTATTTCTGTATTTCTTCCTCCAATATGAAAATGAGGGGGTGTCAAACAAACGTATATGGGTGGTATCTAACACACCATTGGTTGATCAATGCCAAAGTGTGTTGCTCGATTGCATTTGCCTGGGGATGTTAGGCTATATAAGTTATCCTTTATGAGCTTTTGTGCCGAATACATTACGTTGTTACAGGGGTCAAGCTTATGGGCATGTGGCAGCAGTGTGTAGGAGTGAGGTTCCTAGGTGTGAGAAGTGTGCAGAAGGGCATGAGACAAAGGAATGTGTAGCATTGGGGAAAGGAGTGGTATGTGTTAATTGTAGGGGTGCCCATGGGGCTGGGGATCAGAAATGTCCAGTGCGAGAGAGGCAGGTTGAGGATTCCAGGGTTAGAGTAGTGCAGAAGTTGTCGTATGCTGAGGCAGTGAAGAAAGTAGAAGAAGATGGGTCAAGGGGGAGGGATCCTGAGAGGAGTGGTGTGAATATTAGATCATCTATGTTTTAATTTCAGTCTCCTCCATTTCCACTAACTGAAGTTCATTGTAAGGATTTTTATTTTATTAATAGTGTAAAATTAACAGCTATACAGAAAGACTCATGTGAAGGCCTAATTATAGAGGAGGAACTTCTAGATGCAATTAAAGCCTTCAAGTCTTGGAAAACTCCAGGGCTGGATGGCATACCAGTTGAGGTATTATATATCAAATATTTGTTCTATGTACTCAAAGGTCTGTTATTAACATGTTTTAAACACTCCTATAAAAATGGTAGACTATCAGATAGTGGTCCTCTGTAGCTCAGCTGGTAGAGCACAGCGCTTGTAACGCCAAGGTAGTGGGTTCGATCCCCGGGACCACCCATACACAAAAATGTATGCACGCATGACTGTAAGTCGCTTTGGATAAAAGCGTCTGCTAAATGGCATATTATATATTATATTATATTATATTATATATATTATATAGATACTCAGCAAGAAGGTGTACTGGATAATACTTATTTTCCACCATAATTTGCAAATAAATTCATTAAAAATCCTACAATGTGATTTTCTGGATTATTTTTTCTCAATTTGTCTGTCATAGTTGACGTGTACCTATGATGAAAATTACAGGCCTCTCTCATCTTTTTAAGTGGGAGAACTTGCACAATTGGTGGCTGACTAAATACTTTTTTTCCCCACTGTATGTGATATTTCTGTTTATTATTTTTAATAAATTAGAACCATAAAAACAACAGCTGTTTTTGCTTTGTCATTATGGGGTATTGTGTGTAGATTCATGAGGGGGAAAAAAACAATTTAATCAATTTTAGACTAAGGCTGTAACATAACAAAATTTGAAAAAAGTCAAGGGGTCTGAATACCTTCTGAAGGCACTGTATATTATATATACAATATCTTATACAATGTGTTACAGTTATGTATAGAAACGGCAGGTGTAAAATAGTAAATAATGGCTACTTCTCAGAAAGTATTAAATTGTCAAGAGGAGTAAACAAGGCTGTCCACTATCGGCATATCTATTTATTATGGCCATCGACATTTTAGCTATTAAAATCAGATCCAACAATAATATCAAGGGGCTAGAAATCTAGGGCTAAAAAACAAAGGTGTCATTGTATGCTGACGATTCATGTTTTCTTTCAAATCCGCAATTTCGATCCAGCCTCATAGAGGATTAAAACCGAATTATGATAATTGCACCGTATTTTTTTTAAATACAACTTTTACATTACTGTGTAGTTTACCAATAAAATAGTCAGATGGTGAAGTGGACATACTCGGTATTCATATCCCGAAAGAAATAAATTATCTCACTACAATACATTTGAATAGAAAGTTAGCCAAATTAGATAAGATTTTGCTATCATGGAAAGGACAACACCTGTCTCTTTGTGGAAAAATCACCCTGATTAATTATTTAGTCATGTCCCAGTTTACCTATTTACTTATGGCCCTGCCTACACCTAACGACTTGTTTTTTAAATTATATGAGCAAAAAATATTCACATTTATTTGGAACGGCAAGCCAGACAAAATTAAACAGGCCTATTTACAGTGCATTCGGAAAGTATTCAGACCCCTTGACTTTTTCCACATTTTGTTACGTTACAGCCTTATTCTAAAATTGATTAAATTAAATTTTTTCCTCATCAATCTACCCACAATACCCCATAATGACAAAGCAAAAACTGGTTTCTATAAATATTTGCTAATTTATTACAAATAAAAAACAGAAAAACCTTACATTTACATTACATTTTTTGTCATTTAGCAGACGCTCTTATCCAGAGCGACTTACAGTTAGTGAGTGCATACATTATTTTATTTTTCATACTGGCCCCCCGTGGGAATTGAACCCACAACCCTGGCGTTGCAAACGCCATGCTCTACCAACTGAGCTACACCTTATTTACATAAGTATTCAGACCCTTTGCTTGAGACTCGAAATTGAGCTCAGGTGCATCCTGTTTCCACTGATCCTCCTTGAGATGTTTCTACAACTTGATTGGAGTCCACCTGTGGTAAAGTCAATTGATTGGACACGATTTGGAAAGGCACACACCAGTCTATATAAAGTCCCACAGTTGACAGCGCATGTCAGAGCAAAAAACAATCCATGAAGTCGAAGGAGTTGTCCGTAGAGCTCCGAGACATGATTGTGTCGAGGCACAGATCTGGAGAAGGGTCCCAAAAAATGTCTGCAGCATTGCAGGTCCCCAAGAACACAGTGGCCTCCATCATTCTTAAATGGAAGAAGTTAGGAACCACCAAGACTCTTCCTAGAGCTGGCCGCCCAGCCAAACTGAGCAATCGAGGGAGAAGGGCCTTGGTCAGGGAGGTGACCAAAAACCAGATGGTCACTCTGACAGAGCTCCAGAGTTCCTCTGTAGAGTTGGGAGAACCTTCCAGAAGGACAACCATCTCTGCAGCACTCAGGCCTTTATGGTAGAGTGGCCAGACGGAAGCCACTCCTCAGTAAAAGGCACATGACAGCCCGCTTGGAGTTTGCCAAAAAAGCAGCTAAAGGACTCTGACCATGAGAAACAAGATTCTCTGGTCTGATGAAACCAAGATTGAACTCTTTGGCCTGAATGCCAAGCGTCACGTCTGGAGGAAACCTGGCAACATCCCTACGGTGAAGCATGGTGGTGGCAGCATCATGCTGTGGGGATGTTTTTCAGCGGCAGGGACTGGGAGACTAATCAGGATCGAGGGAAAGATGAACGGAGCAAAGTACAGAGAGATCCTTGATGAAAACCTGCTCAAGAGCGCTCAGGACCTCAGACTGGGGCAAAGGTTCACCTTCAAACAAGACAATAACCCTAAGCACACAGCCAAGACAACACAGGAGTGGCTTCGGGACAAGTCTCTGAATGTCCTTGAGTGGCCCAGAAATTATTAAATATTAGAGCACTGGACCTCTCACTAAAGGCTTCAGTCATACAAAAACTATACTTAAATCCTAACTGGTTCTGTAGCAAATTAGTAAGAATGGCTCACCCCATGTTCAAGAATTGACTTTTTCTCTTCATTCAGATTACAACCTCTCACTTTTGGTTATTTGAAAATGATATCTCCAAAATATAGCTATTTTTAAAACAAGCAATAGAAAGCTGGTTGCAATTTCAATTTAATCCACCAGAAAAGACAGATCAAATATTAGAAAAAATATTATGGTTAAACTGAAATATAGTAACTTATAAAAAAAACTTTTGTGGGGGGAAGAAATGTTTAAAAACTGTATAATCTTTGTAAATGATATCATAAATTAGGACTGGTGGAGTTATGTCACACATGCAGTTAACAAAAATATATGGCAGCTAGAAATCAAAACTGGATGGTCTTCAGAGACATATGGGAGGGGTTGAGTGTAGCTGAAAAGATAACTAATGTAAAATATACTGTCCATGGAATGTATGTAGTATGTATAAGCTGGAAGTGGAAGCCTAAGTATTGTCGTCCATCAGTTTACTCCAATTAGGGGAGGGGTGGAAGGGTTAGGGCAAAATAATACAGAAGGAAAATATATTAAAGTATTTAAAATAATATATATATTTGCAAAAATATATATTTATATGGGGGATTGGAAATGAGGCAGCCAATTACATTGATAGAAGCCACAATCTATCTGAAATATTAAAGCTGATCTACCCCCTAAATATATTTTTAAAATATGAATAAAATAATAGGATGCAATGTTCAACACAAAATATAAGATTTGAATTTAGTTAAACTACCATCAAGTTACTGCAAAATGTAGTTCAATTACTAGTTGAACTAAGTGTAGTTCACTACTCCCCAACACTGGATCCAGCTGCGACCGGAAGTGACTTTTTCGTAGCAGGTTAGGAGAACTTATGCATCAGGTTAGGATAATTAACGTAGCAGGTTAGGATAATTAGGTTAAAGTTAGGAACATAGTTAAGGTTAGCGAAAATGCTCTCCTAACCTGAAAAATCACTTCCAGTCATAGCTGT